ACACACCTGTCATCATCACTACACACTGTCATCACACTACACACTGTCATCATCACTACACACCTGTCATCATCACTACACACCTGTCATCATCACTACACACCTGTCATCATCACTACACACCTGTCATCATCACTACACACCATCATCATCACTACACACCAGTCATCATCACTAAAACACCTGTCATCATCACTAACACACCAGTCATCATCACTACACACCTGTCATCATCACTACACACCTGTCATAAATCACTACACCACCTGTAAACATCACTACACACCTGTCATCATCACTACACACCTGTCATCATCACTACACACCTGTCATCATCACTACACACCTGTCATCATCACTACACACTAGTCAGACCTTCACAAGGTCCAACATTAATGTCATCAACATACATTGATTGCTAATTAGTGCCGGAGTTTCGAGCTTCAAGTCGACTATATTAACTTAATTGAGAACACGTCATTGGTGTGTGTGTGTGTGTGTGTGTGTGTGTGTGTGTGTGTGTGTGTGTGTGTTGTGTGTGTGTGTGTGTGTGTGTGTGTGTATGTGGTTCACCAGAGGTACTAACAAAACACAAATCATAGAAAAAGTTACATTTTTTGCAAACATTCATTGTTGATAATAATAATAATAATAATAATAATAATAATAATAATAATAAGAGTATATTTTTGAGCGGGTGTTCTAACAAGAGTGAGAGTATGATCCCCAGCATCATTAACTCTGGAAGAGAGACTTGCTTTCATGCGAGACTTGAAAGCATAAACATGACTCGTGGCTCTTTAACAGACACTGGCAGCCTGATGAACAATCTGAAGAGCAGTAATAAGCCAGAACTCTTCCTGCGAATGATTTCTCGCCGCCAACATGAGTCTGGCTGAAAGGCTCCGCGGAAATTGGCAGAAATATTCTCTAGCTCATTGTAAAAGGTACAAAGACATCAGCGAGATGCTTGGGTTAGTGGAACTTAATAAATTTAAATGTTGATAGCTGAAATTCAGTTCTTCTCTTGAGAGGCAGTCAATATAGTTCGTGCAAGTAGGGACTAGAAGGAAACTCCTTGTTGAGAGTGAATGCCAGTCCACATAAGTGGACTCTTGAAACTATATTACTGGGCTTCTCACAGAGTCTGTATTAAGAAGTTCAGTAGCCCAAGGCAGGGTGCTGGAGCCTTTACTGTTTCTTATCCTCACGGCAGAAATGGGTAAAAACACAAATCACAGTTTCGTATCATCCTTCGTGGACGATATCAAAACATGAATAAAAGTCACCTCGGTGGAAGACACGGAAAATTTGGAAAGCAGATATCAACAAAGTTTTTCAGTGGCCAGTAGAAATAAGACGATATTCACTGACAAATTACATCTGTTCTGACATGGAATGAATTAAGAGGTTAAAAGAAGCAATGATTACGAAACACAAGAGAACCAATTAACAGAACGAAAGAAACACGTGAAAGACTTGAGTATAATAATATCACTGACCTATCACTGAGAAGACACAGTAAGGCAAATGTCACAAAGGCCAGACAAATAGCAGGATTGGACAAGGAGAACTTTCAAAACAAGGGAAATAAAGTTGAGTGTTTAAATCCCTCGTACTTTCTTAAATTATTGTTCAGTGTTGACGGCTCAGTTCATGGAAGGAGAGACATCAGTGCTGGAAAAAGCAGAGAGATCGTTTACTACCCTCATGGAATCAATACAACATTGAAACTTCTAGGAACGTTTCAGAGTAGTGAAAATGTACTCTCTGGAACGAAGAGGACAGAGATACCTGATAATATATACATGGAAGATACTTGTGGGCCTGATGCCAAATATACACACAACAACATACTGGAGTGGGAGAGATGGGAGGAAGTGTAAAGTGGATCCGGTGAAAAGCTGGGGCACCATGGGCACAGTAACCCGTGGGCACAGTAACCCGTTGATCCATGGGTTAACATCCGTGGGCCAAGACTGTTCAGCTTGCTATCAGCAGATATCAGAAATATTGCCTAAACAAGTGTAGTTTTCAAGTGCCTAATCAGCCAGGCTGTGATGGACATATAGGCCGGTGGACCGCCAACAGCAACAGCCTAGTGGAACAGACAATTAACAGAAAACCATGGTTCAAGGCTGAAAGAGGAGGAAGAGAAATGATTCTTTCCCTGACAAGGGAAGAGTTTAAGGGGGGGAAGGGAGAGTGGTGACAATTACCTGAGTCTCCCCGCTATTGTAGTGTTGAGATCCTTTCCACCCACCCATCCATCCACCCACCCCTCCACCCAAGCCTCCACCCACCCCTCCACCCACTCCTCCACCTATTCTCTTGGACCTCCACCTACTCTCCTCTCCTTCCATCTCTCGTCCCCTAAACCCATCCTCCCTCCAACCACCCACCCAAAAACCCACCTACCTTACCCACCCACCCTCCACCCACCTACCCACCACCCACCGACCCACCTACCCACCACCCACTGACACTATTGATCTGCACCTGTTACATGAGTCTGGCAGCGGTCCCAGCAACTGGACCTTCACATCTGTTGCTTAGCTTCGTTCATTCACTGTTACAACGGTACATCAACGGGGTTGTCTGGTCTAAACTTCGTTCAGAGGAACGGAATGCTTTCCTTTACTGTTAACATCGCTAAGTGAACTACAGTCAGCTCATTATTATTATTATTATTATTATTATTATTATTATTATTATTGACATACCGACGTAGGATAACTAGAAAAAAAGAAATACGTTCACCGTCATTCGTTTAATCACTGTCTTGCCAGAAATGTGCTGACGTCACAGTTCAGACGACCCTGTGAACTGACATTTCCACCTATCCTTCAGAGGTTAGGTTAGGTGAGGTTCGTCAGGAAACAGGACAAATGTTTCCTGACGCGGGTCATAGTCAGATAATGACCCGCCTTTGGAGCTTTGGTCATCTGACCGAGGCCTTCCGCTGGCTTACCGGTCCATCCTTCAGAGTGCAGGCACTGTACGTTTCTTTCCTGGGACGACTCCGACCCCCCACTGCCAGCTGCCTTTCACACTAATTTATTCACCCTCTTAGTTATCTAATTCTGCTCTATCCTCTCTAAATGCCCAATACAAATCAAACTCTATTCAGCCCTCTAAATTATACCAGTGGTAACCTCACATTGTCTTCTAATTTCTATGTCCAAAAGTCTCAGAATAGTATTCACACCACGCATTGCCCTCAAACACGACATTTCTACTGCCTCCAGGCTCCTCCTCGCTGCAACGTATAAATCCCATGCCTCACACCCATACAACAGTGCCGATGCCGCTATACTCTGGTACATGCCTCTTTTTGACTCCAAAGATAAATGTCTTGTCATTCGTAGATTCCTCAACCTTCCACGTACCTTTTTCCCTCCTTGTTCATTTTATGGTTCACCTCATTATTAACAGATCAGTCTGTTGAAAAGTCTACTCACAAATCATACCCCGGCCGGGATTGAACCCGCGGTCAGAGTCTCAAAACTCCAGCCCGTCGCGTTAGCCTGGCTAACGCGACGGGCTGGAGTTTTGAGACTTTCTGACCGCGGGTTCAATCCCGGCCGGGGTATGGTTTGTTTGCAATCGTGTCATTACGATTTCGTGAGTCATACTCACAAATATCTGAACAAATTCAGATATTCAATATTCCCTTCAATCAGATCTGCAATCTTTCATTGCCTACACTTTTTCGTTATTTTCATAACTATGCTATTTCCTGTGCTCATTTTTAATATCTTTCACAAACCTCCTAGGTTCACACGCCAACTTTTGCAGCTTCTCTTCATAATCTTCCAAAAGCACAGTGTCATCTGATACAACGCCCACGTTGTATCAGATTCTTTATCTTTTAATCTCACACGTCTCCCAAGACCCCGGCATTAACTTGTTTTACAGCCCCATCTATATTGATGTTAAATAACCATAGTGACATCACACAACCCTGTATAAGACCTTCTTTTACTGGATAATAATCTTCCGCTCTCTCCTTCATGATCTAACCCGAGCTTCAGTACTCACATAAATGCAACATTCAATGTTGCATCTGCTACAGTGCTTCCACAACCACCCTATCACATGCCTATTCGAAATCCAAACTGGAGGTAGAAGACTAGAAGAGCAAGAGGAAAGAGAGACGGAGGGAAAGCAGGAAAGAAATTGGGGAGGAAGAGGGAGAGAGAGAAGTGGGAGAGATAGGAAAGGGAAGACAACTACTGTTCCTTTAATTGATTTCCTCGTGCAAATTATTCGACATTGTGATAGCCGGTGTTCATCTCTCTCTCTCTGTCTGTCTGTCTGTCTCTCTCTCTCTCTCTCTCTCTCTCTCTCTCTCTCTCTCTCTCCTCTCTCTCTCTCTGCCTCTGTCTCCCGGTCTCTTGCTGGCTGTAATATATATATATATATATATATATATAATATATATATATATATATATATATAATATATATATATATATATATATATATATTGTAATGTACAGAACAGTGGACGGAATCGAACCGTGGTCCTGGCATGCAGCTGGCCCAACGTTGTACCATTCCTGTGACATGTCTGTATCAGCGGCAGCAACTGTGACCCATCTATCTCTGCCCGCAGCCACAGGTTTCATCGTGTATTTGTTCTCATGCCTGTCAAAGCCAGACCACCGTTCGAGTCCCCGTTCATTCTTCTGTTTATTCATTGACAGTTGTCTATTTCAACTTACCTTGTGTTTGTATACCTTGTGGTTTATAACCCTTGATACCATTGTTAGAAGGTATTTATACCGTTATACGTAAGTATATATACCGTTGTACTGATGTATATATACCGTTGTACGGAAGTATATATACCGTTGTACGGAAGTATATATACCGTTATACTGATGTTTTACAATATAGATAAGTTGATTAACAAGACGCCTGCTGTGAGGTCGAAATGTTTCGGCAACAAAGGCACTCTTGTGGCTGCACTAATATTTACCTACATCACTGTTTCAGAAATACCACCAGTTGCGTATCAAGATCCTGGGTGACTGTTATTACTGCGTGTCTGGCGCCCCTAGAGAGAGGAGCGACCACGCTGTCAACTGCGTCCATATGGGACTCTCTATGATAGATGCTATCAAGTAAGTCCATCTTCACCCCCCTCCCTCACCCACTGCCACCGCCCGGGTTTGTATCATGGCCAGGAGTCAGTGTTTCGACGCTGGCAGACACTGGAGAGTTAGTAGAAACAACACGCACGTAGTTAGCGGTCCAAGTCCAAGTCTGACCGAAACATCGTCAAAAGTTGCCTCCTGTGTGCGGGTTGTATTGTTGCAATCACGGTATTGTGACTTTTTCTTCTATTGCGAGAGTTACACGGTGGGAACACACACACAGTATGGGGCTACAGTATTCTGTACAGGTACTGTATATTGTAGAACAAGTACTATTTGTTTCCAATGTTATATTCCGTCACACAGGATGGGTGTCACACCAACAGTCTGGTTAATCAGTCCCTGAGCCGCTGTGAGGCCTGGTTGAAGACCGGGCCGCGAGGGCATTGACCCTTGGAACGACCTCCGGGTAATGATAATGAAGTATTTCTTCCCGAGTCTGGAGACTTCAGTAGGCTGATGAGGGTATCGTCAGGCATTGTATTATGGTTCAGTAGGTACGACAACTTCAAAGAGTTCCTTCCATCAGAACTGGAGTTAGCACTGTACTGGAACTATCGTCTCTTAGAATGACCTGCAACCTAGCATAATGACCTACCCTCATTAGCAAGTCACAGGTCATTAAGATGTGTTTGTATGTACAGGTACGTACGTGAGACGACGGGATGCACGGTGGACATGCGTGTTGGAATCCATACTGGAGCCGTGCTGGCAGGCGTGCTGGGACAGAGACAGTGGCAGTTTGATGTATACAGCAAAGATGTCGTGTTAGCTAACAAGATGGAGAGTAGTGGGAAGCCTGGGTAAGTGCTTGTGAGTAGTGGGAAGCCTGGGTAAGTGCTTGTGAGTAGTGGGAAGCCTGGGTAAGTGCTTGTGAGTAGTGTGAAGCCTGGGTAAGTGCTTGTGAGTAGTGTGAAGCCTGGGTAAGTGCTTGTGAGTAGTGTGAAGCTTGGGTAAATGTGTGTGTGAGCACCATTATATATATATATATATATATATATATATATATATATATATATATATATATATATATATATATATATATATATATATATATATATATATTATATTCTCAAACAGCTTCAGGGAGAATCTTGAATTTTCCCTGAAGCAAGTTTATTCTTTTCTCTGAGGATGAGGGTCCCCAGGACAGTTCTAGAGGTGGTACCTATGTATATATATATATATATATATATATATATATATATATATATATATATATATATATATATATATATATGGAGAAAAAGAGAGATGTTAAGAGAGTGGTGAAGCAATGTAAAAAGAGAGCAAATGAGAGAGTGGGTGAGATGTTATCAACAAATTTTGTTGAAAATAAGAAAAAGTTTTGGAGTGAGATTAACAAGTTAAGAAAGCCTAGAGAACAAATGGATTTGTCAGTTAAAAATAGGAGAGGAGAGCTATTAAATGGAGAGTTAGAGGTATTGGGAAGATGGAGGGAATATTTTGAGGAATTGTTAAATGTTGATGAAGATAGGGAAGCTGTGATTCCATGTATAGGGCAAGGAGGAATAACATCTTGTAGGAGTGAGGAAGAGCCAGTTGTGAGTGTGGGGGAAGTTCGTGAGGCAGTAGGTAAAATGAAAGGGGGTAAGGCAGCCGGGATTGATGGGATAAAGATAGAAATGTTAAAAGCAGGTGGGGATATAGTTTTGGAGTGGTCGGTGCAGTTATTTAATAAATGTATGGAAGAGGGTAAGGTACCTAGGGATTGGCAGAGAGCATGCATAGTTCCTTTGTATAAAGGCAAAGGGGATAAAAGAGAGTGCAAAAATTATAGGGGGATAAGTCTGTTGAGTATACCTGGTAAAGTGTATGGTAGAGTTATTATGGAAAGAATTAAGAGTAAGACGGAGAATAGGATAGCAGATGAACAAGGAGGCTTTAGGAAAGGTAGGGGATGTGTGGACCAGGTGTTTACAGTGAAACATATAAGTGAACAGTATTTAGATAAGGTATAAAGAGGTCTTTGTGGCATTTATGGATTTGGAAAAGGCGTATGACAGGGTGGATAGGGGGGCAATGTGGCAGATGTTGCAGGTGTATGGTGTAGGAGGTAGGTTACTGAAAGCAGTGAAGAGTTTTTACGAGGATAGTGAGGCTCAAGTTAGAGTACATAGGAAAGAGGGAAATTATTTTCCAGTAAAAGTAGGCCTTAGACAAGGATGTGTGATGTCACCGTGGTTGTTTAATATATTTATAGATGGGGTTGTAAGAGAAGTAAATGCGAGGGTCTTGACAAGAGGCGTGGAGTTAAAAGATAAAGAATCATACATAAAGTGGGAGTTGTCACAGTTGCTCTTTGCTGATGACACTGTGCTCCTGGGAGATTCTGAAGAGAAGTTGCAGAGATTGGTGGATGAATTTGGTAGAGTGTGCAAAAGAAGAAAATTAAAAGTGAATACAGGAAAGAGTAAGGTTATGAGGATAACAAAAATATTAGGTGATGAAAGATTGGATATCAGATTGGAGGGAGAGAGTATGGAGGAGGTGAATGTATTCAGATATTTGGGAGTGGACGTGTCAGCGGATGGGTCTATGAAGGATGAGGTGAATCATAGAATTGATGAGGGGAAAAGGGTGAGTGGTGCACTTATGAGTCTGTGGAGACAAAGAACTTTGTCCTTGGAGGCAAAGAGGGGAATGTATGAGAGTATAGTTTTACCAACACTCTTATATGGGTGTGAAGCATGGGTGATGAATGTTGCAGCGAGGAGAAGGCTGGAGGCAGTGGAGATGTCATGTCTGAGGGCAATGTGTGGTGTGAATATAATGCAGAGAATTCGTAGTTTGGAAGTTAGGAGGAGGTGCGGGATTACCAAAACTGTTGTCCAGAGGGCTGAGGAAGGGTTGTTGAGGTGGTTCGGACATGTAGAGAGAATGGAGCGAAACAGAATTACTTCAAGAGTGTATCAGTCTGTAGTGGAAGGAAGGCGGGGTAGGGGCCGGCCTAGGAAAGGTTGGAGGGAGGGGGTAAAGGAGGTTTTGTGTGCGAGGGGCTTGGACTTCCAGCAGGCATGCGTGAGCGTGTTTGATAGGAGTGAATGGAGACAAATGGTTTTTAATACTTGACGTGCTGTTGGAGTGTGAGCAAAGTAACATTTATGAAGGGGTTCAGGGAAACCGGCAGGCCAGACTTGAGTCCTGGAGATGGGAAGTACAGTGCCTGCACTCTGAAGGAGGGGTGTAAATGTTGTAGTTTAAAAACTGTAGTGTAAAGCAGCCTTCTGGTAAGACAGTGATGGAGTGAATGATGGTGAAAGTTTTTCTTTTTCGGGCCACCCTGCCTTGGTGGGAATCGGCCAGTGTGATAATAATAATAATAAATAATAATATATATATATATATATATATATATATATATATATATATATATATATATATATATAATATATATATATATATATATATATATATATTTATGTCGTGCCGAATATGTAAAACTGGTCACTTACCAAGAACTCATTTAAAATTAAGTCCTTTCTAAATTTTTCTCTTATCCGTTTAATGGTATATTTTTCATTTATAATGTAAAAATTAATATTTTTGTACCAAAAGAACCTTAGAAAACTTACCTAACCTTACTATAACAAGCTCAATTTAATTTAGCCTAATCCAGCTAAATATATTTTAGATAACTTTACAATAATTTCATAATAAACAAACGCAATGAAATAATTTTTTTCGTTAGGTTCAGAATTATTTTTGCGAAATTATTGCATATACAAACTTTGACTTGCCTTATTCGGCAAGAAGAGCGTTGCTATTTAAGCCAGTATCGCCTTTCCACGTATGTGCAGTATTTTTCACGTTCAATAAGGAACATAAAACCAGAATAACTTGAATAAAAAAGGTCAGAATTAAAACTTTCGTCATTAAATGAACTTTGACCAAAAAGAAAGTTTTAAGATTTGCTGAGAAGACGAAAAACTTTTGCTTGAGTTGATGAGTCCCATTGATGACTGTCCCACCAGCTGATGAGTCCCATTGATGACTGTCCCACCCGCTGATGAGTCCCATTGATGACTGTCCCACCCGCTGATGAGTCCCATTGATGACTCAGTCCCACCCGCTGATGAGTCCCATTGATGACTCAGTCCCACCCGCTGATGAGTCCCATTGATGACTCAGTCCCACCCGCTGATGAGTCCCATTGATGATGTACCTTTGGGCCAGGCTCGTCTGGTGCTTGCCTGGTCAACCAGGCTGTTGCTGCTGGAGGCCCGCTGCCCCACAGCCTGGTTAATCTGGCACCTGGTGAAGATGCTTGTCCAGTTTCCTCTTGAAGGCTTCTACACTTGTTCCAGCAGTGTTTCTGATATCTTCTGGTAAGATGTTGACTAGTCTGGGACCCCGGATGTTGATACAGTGTTCCCTTATTGTCCCCACCGCACCCCTGCTCCTCACTGGGTTTATTTTACACTTCCTCCCATATCTCTCACTCCAGTATGTTGTTATGGCAGTGTGCAGATTTGGGACCAAGCCCTCGAGTACCTTCCAGGTATAGTATATTATCATGTACCTCTCCTACGCTTCAATGAGTACATGTTCAAGACTTGCAGGCGTTCCCAGTAGTTTAGGTGCTTTACTGGCTCAATGTGAGCCGTAAACGATCTCTGTATTTGTTCCAGCTCAGATATTTCTCCTGCCTTGAACGGGGCCGTCTGCACTGAGCAATATTCTAAGTGAGGGAGCACTAGCGATTTGAAGAGTGCCACCATCGGCATTATTTCCCTTGTTTTGAAAGTTCTCAATACCCACCCAGTCATCTTCCTGGCTGTCGTGATCTTTTCTTGTTATGGTCTTTAAAAGAAAGGTCCGCTGACATAATTACTCCCAGGTCTTTTACGCGTTCCTTTCATTCTATTTGGTGACCCTCTTGAGTTTTGTATATAGTGCTCCTTTTGAGTTCTTCGTTCTTTTCATCACCATTGAAAGTCATGTTCTTCACTGCCCACTGGAAAACCCTGTTTATGTCTTCCTGTACTTTTTCAGTGTCCTCTACCATACTGACTTTAACGGTAGAGGACACTGATGAGTCCCAGTGATGACTCTGTCCCATCCGTTGATGAGTCTCAGTGGTGCCTCGATGGTGACTCGTTAGTGGATCTTGTATCCTCTGGTCTACCTGTAGTCTGTCCTCTGGTCTACCTGTAGTCCCTGTCCTCTGGTCTACCTGTAGTCTCTGTCCTCTGGTCTACCTGTAGTCTCTGTCCTCTGGTCTACCTGTAGTCTCTGTCCTCTGGTCTACCTGTAGTCTCTGTCCTCTGGTCTACCTGTAGTCTCTGTCCTCTGGTCTACCTGTAGTCTCTGTCCTCTGGTCTACCCGTGGTCTCTGTCCTCTGGTCTACCCGTGGTCTCTGTCCTCTGGTCTACCCGTGGTCTCTCTTTTATCCTCTCCAGTTTGTATTAATCTCATTAGATTTAAATCTTCCGAAAAAATTAAGCAACACAGTCAGTCTCCTGCATCAGGTCATTTACGCATATTAAAAATAATAAAGTTCCTGGAACTGATCCTTGGGGAACCCCGTTTGTTGCACTCTCCCACCTTGAAATATTTCCTTAGCCTCAACCCCCCCCCCTTTTGTCTTCTGATCCCTGCGATAATTTGTGAATCAGTCTCTGGTGGGGTACAGTGTCAGGTGCTTCCCTACAGTTCAGAAATATGCAGTCAACCCATCCTTGTCTTTCTTGCTTGAATTCCGTTATTGTGTCGTAGAACTCCAGTAGGTTAGTGAGGCAAGACTTAAGTTATTAAATCTGTGATGGCTTTCTGGAAAAAAAAAAAGTCATTTTTCTTGATGCTCAGGAACTCTTGTACTGTTAAATGTTGTCCAAAGTATTGGAAAAGATAATTCAGATGATTCTGGCCTATAATTCAGTGTCTTTTGTGTGTCCCCTTGACTGTATATTGAGATCACGTTGGTAGTTATCCAGTAGGTCTCTCATCTCCACGGACATATTGCAGTTCATTGCTATGGGTTTACACATTTCTTCCGCTCCCTCTTTCAGTATCCATGGTGATGTACCGTCAGGCCCCATGACTTTTGATGTGTGTGACTTTTAATAGTTTCATTACTTCTGCCTTTGATACATTAATTCTATCCAATACTTGCATATTAACCCCTTTCAACTCTACATTCTGGCACAGCCCCTGTTTCCTCAGTCACTGTCCTTTAATATTTTGCTTAAGTCCTCACAAACTTCTCTGTCTTCTTTTAATTACACTTTCCTATTCAGCCTTATTATTTGTTCTTTTACAGTCGTCTTCCTCCTTGTTTATCTGTATGTGTGTGTGTCTGTGTTCGTGCGAGGGCGTTGAAAAATTCAATTAGGCAAGGTATACTATTATAGCTGGTGCTTGATGGTAATTACACGTCTAAGTGTACAAATTAAGAGGCTAGTGGTGCCCAGCAAGCATCCTTCAGCCAGCACCTGTGTGTTCGGTACAACCTGCACGGAACACTTTTTATTTGACGGCTGCACTGTTTTATTTTAACCCCCTCCCCCTCTCTCTCTCTCTCCTCAACCCCCCATACTCTCTCCTCAACCCCCACACTCTCTTCTCAACCCCTACTCTCCTCCACACACCTCCCCCAAGCTCCCCAACCATATTAAAAAATAGACAGCCTGGCACTGGGTTGTCCACAGAGACAAATTCAGAACTGAGAGAGTTGTGAAAGCCAGGACCAAGCACAGCAGCGGGGTGTCTCTGGGTCGTTGTCATGAACCAGGTCAACGCTGGCACCGTCAGCAGTCACTCCCAGGCCTCCTGACGACCAGGGGACGGAGGACGCCTCCTGACGACCAGGGGACGGAGGACGCCTCCTGACGACCAGGGGACGGAGGACGCCTCCTGACGACCAGGGGACGGAGGACGCCTCCTGACGACCAGGGGACGGAGGACGCCTCCTGACGACCAGGGGACGGATGACGCCTCCTGACGACCAGGGGACGGAGGACGCCTCCTGACGACCAGGGGACGGAGGACGCCTCCTGACGACCAGGGGACGGAGGACGCCTCCTGACGACCAGGGGACGGAGGACGCCTCCTGACGACCAGGGGACGGAGGACGCCTCATAACTAATAAAAGTTTCTTTCCTGTTTTGTGATATTTAAGAGAAAGAACAGAATAAAAGTGCAAAAGGATAGAAAAAGCAGAATAAAAAAAACACGGAATGGATGGGGTTTAAACCCATGGCGAGAGAGTAGTACAGCTCTAGGCCAGTGCGTAAACCACTGAGCCAGGTGGCTGCAATACGACTCACTCGCCATGGGTTTCAACCCCAACCGTTCCGTGGTTTGTTTTCAATTGTGTTATAACGATTTCATGAGTCAAGAGCAGAGTAGTGGTGGACTATTAATGAAGTCCGCTGCCCCACACCAGGCCTCACGCCCCGTACCAACGTGACAAGCAGTGCCCACTGTCTCCAGGACCCTACCCAGGGCACAGCCCCAGCTGTCCAGGACCACCACTTACCCTACCCAGGGCACAGCTCCAGCTGTCCAGGACCACCACTTACCCTACCCAGGGCACAGCCCCAGCTGCCCAGGACCACCACTTACCCTACCCAGGGCACAGCCCCAGCTCTCTCAGAACTGACAGAACTGGTTCAGAGGACATCTACATCACCTTCTTCACAGCTACTGCAACTGACCCATCAATTTGGGAAGGACCTACTTCCACAGGGGAATCCCGCCTACCAGTGACTATGCCCTCGTCTGCTACACGTCCCTATTCACTGATGCCTATATAAGCGCCAGTCTCCTTGCCTGTGCTTCAGAATCTCTACAACCACGGTGCTCTAAACACCACCTTCAAGGCTGTGGGATTGATTACCTCATCTTTTGTATATAGTTCTTCTGTTTTCTTATTATGTCCTAGAATCTGTATTGATAAAGCCACTGGATGGCGAAACTTCTACAATAAAGATACCCAGATGTTGCACAAGTGTCTTCACTTTCATCTTGTCGGTATTGTATACCTGTCTTGCACAGAACAAGGCTTAGCAAAACCGCCTATTTAAACTGGAAGAGCCAGAGACACCAGCAATATTCAGCTAGTGATGGCCTGAAGAAGAACTGGGAAGAACACCGACAGTTGTACATCATGTCTCACCAGTCCTAGAACCAAACCTGGCTTCATGTGGTACTCCCACCTCAGACACCCACCATATGAACCATATCAACACAAGGAGAGTAACTACTGGTAACTTTCTCCATGATTCCCCACAGCAAAAGTAAACAAGTTGGGAAAAAAGTTCCGTTATTTAGGCTAATTTAGGGAGGGAGGGAGTGCCGAGTTCTTAGGCAAAGCCGCTCAAACCGTTCCATCACCTTGCTGCAGTGTTAAAAGTTTCGTGCCATTAAGTTACATTCAGACTTGGGGTGTATAACAGACAGAGGATCGAGCCTTCAACCACGTCTTGCGCTGAATGAACTGCCTGGGTTCAGCGCTAAAAATACTGTTAGGTAAAAAGACACTTGCAACTAATGTGACATTTTTATTGTGGCAACGTTTCGCTCTCCAGGAGCTTTGTCAAGCCGTTACGGCTTGACAAAGCCGAATAGGTAAAACTTGCGATTTTGGCTTAAATCGCAACACTCTTCCTGCCTAATAAGGCAAGCGAAATTTTGTGTATTCAATAATTTCGCAAAAATCATTTTGAACCTTGTTACGCAGAAAGGTGGGATACCTGGGGGCTAGTGCCTTGTCTAAGGGCAAAGGTAAAAGTTACACACATCTCAAGCATAAACAGGTCACCCAGGGCTATCCCAGTCAAAACAGAAAGAGCTAAACCAGTATGTGTTACTTTAATGGGTTGGTTAACAGAGGGTAAGGCAAAAATCCCAGTTAGGAAAATATATCTATTTATTCAACATAACATTATATACACACTCTAGCAACACCTTAATCCTAAACGTCCAAATGAGGGTACACAAGAAACAGCTGACTGGAGGTCCAGCCACCATAACCACTAGGCCTAGTCAGTGCCAGGCCGTCACTGCTCCACTACAAGCCCCATTTCTTATTTCCTCACTCATCCCACAGCACCCTGACCATGTCCGAGCCTGGGTGAACATACAGGTAAGCCATAGAAGAGCCTATGGCTTGAGTTGGTTAAACAAAAGGAGTACACAACTACAAACTTAGCTTAAATACACAGGATCTCCGACGCCAGCCTCCACACCATGCCGACTCCACGTGACTTCCCCCCCCCCCCAGCCACTCTGACCCAGCGTACCCAAACACAGTTGGAAAATAAATCCCTAGCAGGATTTCTTTATAATTATAATTTAACCTAATTTACAGTACCCCCAAATGCACATTATGAATTATAAAATTATTCTTTACAATTATAACATTCATACTACGTATTATGGTACACTTCTCCACTATATGTACATTACGATGTCATGCAGAACCCTGCATAACAAACCTAACTAAAAAAAAATACATTTCATTGTATTTGTTTATTGTTAAATTACTGCAAACTTAGCTAAAATGTATTTAGCTGGATTAGGCTAAATTAAATTGCGCTTGTTATAATAAGGTTAAGTAAGTTATTTAAGGTTCTGCTGGTATAAAATTATTAATTTTTACATTAGCATAAATGAAAAATATACCTTCAAGCGTATAAAAGAATTTTAGAAAGGACTTAATGCTAATTAACCAGTTTTACCTATTCGGCACGACATATATGAGTGTGTGTGTGTGTGTGTGTGTGTGTGTGTGTGTGTGTGTGTGTGTGTATTTCGGCAGGCATGTGCACATAATCCGTATCTCCCGGCAGGCATGTGCACATAATCCGTGTGTATCTCCCGGCAGGCATGTGCACATAATCCGTGTGTATCTCCCGGCAGGCATGTGCACATAATCCGTGTGTATCTCCCGGCAGGCGTGTGCACATAATCCGTGTGTATCTCCCGGCAGGCGTGTGCACATAATCCGTGTGTATCTCCCGGCAGGCGTGTACACATCAGCAACAAAACTCTGGAGTACATCGGTGGAGAGTTCGAAGTTGAGCCCGCGTACGGTGAGCGCCGTGAGGACGCTCTCAGAGCTGCTGGTCTCAAGACTTACTTTATCTCCAAGGTCCTCCGCCCGGTGAGTCAACAGCACTCCGCATTCACTGAAAGAACAGTGAAAGAAGAGTGAGAATGGAATGAAAGAGTTAATATGGGGTGGAAAACGAATGAAAGGTTGAAAGAGTGAGAAGTGGGAAGGTGTGGTGGTGAAGTGTGACTGTGTGGGAAGGTGTGGTGAAGTGTGACTGGGGAGGTGTGGTGGTGAAATGTGACTGTGTGGGGAGGTGAAGTGTGACTGTGGGGGGAGGTGTGGTGAAATGGGACTGTGGGAAGGTGTGGTGGTGAAGTGTGACTGTGGAGGAGGAACTTAGTGGATCTCTCTGTCCACACACATTGCTGTATAGACCTGTTTGTATCCACACACTACTGTATAGACCTGTTTGTATCCACACACTACTGTATAGACCTGTTTGTATCCACACACTACTGTATAGACCTGTTTTTATCCACACACCTTGTATTTGGTGTCGTCGCCATCTGTATATATGAACCATACTGCTAGAGATACTTCTAGTCTAGCCTTAGTATATCGGTAATCTTTTAATATAACATTGTTACTTTCTCCATATATATGTTTAACTTGCCGCATTTCATTATGATGGAGAGTGGATCTGTTAGTTCCTATCTGCACTGTTCTACTGTCTTCAACTCGTCTGCTAGTTCTTCTCTGCCATTACTTTTTTAACTTATGTGAGGAAGCCATAATTATACTCTCCATTCTCTATTATTAGTTTAGCCAAGTCATCAACTTTGTCATGCTGCTGGAGACCTCTGTGAGAAGGAATCCACAAAAACCTGACTAACCCACGTCTTAATGTGTATATCTGTGCGCAGCTTCACACACAAGCATGCTACGTTCAGGTCTCTGGTTTTTACAGCCAGTAATAGTCAGTTACAAATAAACTGATATCCTAGTTTCCACAAGGTTGAGAGCAACAATTATGGCAAACAGTTTAGTCTGCAAGATGGAAGTCCAGTTATTAATTCTAATACACTTCTAATGTAGTACCATTAGGCTGATTTACCACAACAGCACTTCCTGCCCTCACGCTGTCACAATTAAAATTGAAGCATTGTAATCTGTCAGTAATCTTATGTGTGACAAAAACATTTTGACAACTAACATTTGCACCGTATTTAAAATTGTACCTCAACAGTTGTCGGAGCGTTAATTCCATCTTTACATTGTTGGTTAATTTTATGTACATCTGTTAACGTACATAAGATGGTAATACCCGGATATCTGCAGAACATAACATTAGCCAAGAAATTAAACGTTTTATGCAATTCAGAAACCAATTTTATTGTTTTATAGTAATTTTGACGCGTTGTTCACGCATCTGGACTTTTAGTCTAGCAAGTAAGATTTTGTCGAATCTTACGATCAATAGTTTGGTTATTAAAAGTTGAAGAACCACGTGGTATGTGCTATCTAACCAATCATGTGTATAACATACACAGATTTTTCAGTGTTGTTCATGCAGTGACAAACTATTCTTAATGTAAATATATATATATATATGCAATAAGATCACAGTAAACAGGTGATTTCAGAATATGCAAAACAACCACTGTGAAAGAATAGAGAAGATCCAAGCGCTTTCGTGAGTACTCACATTATCAAGGAACAATGAAAGTAAATTATTATTATTATAATCAAAAAGAAGCGCTAAGCCACAAGGGCTATACAGCGCTGCAGGGTAGGGAAGGAAGCGAGGGTATTGGATGGCAGAAGGGAGGAGGGATGATCAGTAGGTTACAGAAAACAGCGGGACAGGGGATAGTACGGGGGTAGAGGGTAGCAAGAGATTGAAGTAGAAAGGGCTGAAGGTATCAGAATTTGTGAAGTCAGTCAGTTGTCAAAAAGTCAATGAGAGAGTCCGGATGAAAGGTGGGTCCATCAGCGAGAAGGGAAGGTAGAGAGAGCAGCAGAGCGAAGACGACGATGGAGGTAAATTCTGCGTGCTCGTTGATAAAGTGGGCAGTCCAACAGAATGTGGCTGACTGATAATGGAGCTTGGCAATTCTCACAGAGAGGAGCAGGGCGCCTCTCCATGAGATATCCATGAGTAAGACGAGTATGGCCAATGCGAAGACGGGAGAGAGTAGTCTCCCAACCTCGACACGTGATAAGAAGACGGCCAGTAACCTATACTCGGTTTAATAGATTGAAGTTTGTTGCCGAGCACAGACCAACGTTGTTGCCAACGGGTGTGAAGGTGGGAAGATATTGCAGCAAAATAGTCCGTAACTGGAATACCTCTATATGAAACTGGTAGGTCATGTACTGCTGACCACGCAGCAGTGTCTGCCTGTTCATTGCCCTGTACGTCAACATGACCAGGGACCCAACAAAAAACAATATCTTTATGCTTGGTAAAGATGCGGTGTACCAAAGTTGGATATGGAGGACTAAGGGGTGAGGTGTATCAAAGTTCTGTATAGCCTGTAAAGCACTAAGGGAGTCTGAGACAACCACAAATGATGACACAGGCATAGATGCAATACGGATAAGTGCTGCAAGGATGGCATACAATTCAGCAGTAAAAATACTAGCCGAAGGTAGTAAATGCCCTCGTACGACACTGTCCAGAAACACTGCTGTGAATCCTATGCTGTCAGAAGACTTAGAGCCATCTGTGTACACAGCAATGGCATGAGAATGAGAGTGAAAGTGGTCAATAAAAAGAGTGGGAAGCGACCGTAGAGAGTTGGGCTTTTGAGCAAGGGAGAGAGAAAGAACAGACTAACAGCTGGAACTTCCCAGGGGGATAGGAAAAATTGAGATGCTACATGAACATAGAAAGGTGGTAATTGAAGAGAAGACAAGAGCGAATTAAGGCAAAGAGAGAAGGGACGGAGTAAACAGGGGCAGCGAACAAATAAAGAATGTCTACTAATATCAGTGACCATTCTATAAATGGAAGAATTGCGGAGATCATGAGAGCGTACATAGCAGCGAAGGCAATGGGCATCACGGCGATCGGAAAAGGATGGAACGTTCGCTTCTGCATAGAGGCTCTCGACAGGGGAAGAGCGAAAAGCACCAAGGCATAAACGTAATCCTTGGTGATGAATGGGGTTAAGGCTAGAGAGTAGCAGGAGATACCGCTGAATAGATCTGGTCACCATAATCAAGTTTCGATAAAATAAGGGTGGAATGTAGGCGAAGGAGGGTTCGACGATCAGCTCCCCATGAAAGATGAGCAAGGGTTTTAAAAAGGTTCAGCCGGCTGTGACAAGTTGCCTTCAGAAAGGTAATGTGAGGTTTCCAGGATAACCTACGGTCAAAGAGGAGGCCCAGAAACTCGACTGTATCAAGTTCAGGGATACGGGAGCCAGAGGTACAAAGGATGATCGGAGATGACAGAGCGTCTAGTAAAAGTAATTTGGTGGGTTTTAGTGCTGGAAAATTTAAACCCATGTGTGGTGGCCCAATTGGAAACACGGTCGACTGCTTGCTGGAGAGAAACTGTAATGAGGTGACAGTCAGCGCCTGCACAGGCAATAGCGAAGTCATCAACATAGAGTGATGACCAAATATTTGATGGAAGACTAAGAGGCCAAATCATTAATAGCAAGGAGAAAAAGTGTTGTGCTCAGAACACATCCCTGGGGGACACCTTCAGCTTGGATAAAGTCCGGGGAGAGCACATTATTAACCCGAACACGGAAATGCCTGTCAGTTAAAAAGATCTTAAGGAAGGACGGTAGATTGCCTCGAAGGCCTAAGGAGTGGGCTTGGGCTAAAATATTACACCTAGTTGTGTCATATGCCTTCTCAAGGTCAAAAAACATGGCAATAACCGAGTGGTTATTCGCAAAGGCATTACGAACATACGTATCCAAGCGTAGTAAGGGGTCTGTGGTAGAACATCTCTTACGAAAGCCATATTGAGGAGTGGAGAGACTGTTGTGTGCCTCTAAATACCACACTAAACGTCTATTTACTAGGCGTTCCATCACTTTGCAAACTGCACTGGTAAGAGCAATGGGACGATAGTGGGAGACTTCACGTCCCGTAGTGCCTGGTTTGCGGAAAGGGAGAACAATGTTGGATTTCCACAGCTGTGGAAGAACTCCTTGTGACCAAATAAGATTGAAAAGGCGTAATAGGACTGCAAGGGCTGACTGATGTAAATGTTGTAACATATGAATATGAATGTCGTCGGGCCCAGCTGCCGATGATCGGCAAGCTGAGTGTGTTGCCTCCAGTTCTTGAAGTGTAAAAGGCACAGTATACTGTTCTTCTCTGAGAGAAGAAAAGTCCAAGGGTGCTAACTCTCTGGCAGACTTTGAGGAAAGAAATGAGGGGCATAGATGGAGTCCCTGAGAAATACAGACCAGATGATTGCCAATTTCATTGGCAACATCTAGTGGGTTTGCTATATCAACACCGGCAACCCGCAGAACAGGAGCCGGGTCAGGAGAATATTTACCACTCAGTTTTCGTACTTTTTTCCAGACTGCACTCATAGAGGAAGCAGAGGTGATGGTGGAGACAATCTCGCCAGCAAGTGCGTTTAGCGTCACTGATGACACTGCGAGCAATCGCACGCTTCTGCTTAAAATCAAGAAGTCTCTCTGTGGTTCTATTGTACCGGTACCTGCCCCATGCAGCGCGTTTCAAACGTACTGCATGAGCACAAGCAGGAGACCACCAAGGCACGCATTTCTGAGAATGCCTGCCCGAAGTTTGTGGTATACAATTAGAAGGTGCGGTTAAAACGGTTAAAATGGAGGACGAGAAGAGGTGTAAAAGCTCATCGATGGAGGACGAAGAAGGAACCTCTCTAAAAACAGTTAGGTGTGAGTAAAGGTTCCAATTTGCCTGATCAAATTGCCAGCGTGTGATGCGAAGAGGTGGTGAATATGAAGGGGAAGAAAGAATGATTGGGAAATGATCGCTGTCATGCAAGTCCGGGAGAACAGACCAAGTGAAGCCTAATGCGGCAGAGGAAGAACAGACTGAGAGATTGATGCAAGAGAGAGTGTGAGTCCGAGAATCAAAATGGGTGC